TATATATATATATATTATATGTATATGTATATAAAATATAGAAAAATATATATTTTATCGACTACTATTTTGAGAGCGGCTATACAATGTTATTTTCACAAGATTTTTATTATGCTAGTCTTGTTTTCTTCTTTTTTTCTAAACTAGTCATGTTTTCTATTGTTTCCCATTTTGGGACACAAGTTTTTAGAAACTGTACATAGAAATCAAAGTCTAAAGTCTGATTAAAGAACTTGGGGTAACCAACTAACTGAACTATTAAAATTGTCTGAAACTACATATTCTCTCTGGAATTGGCATCATGTGATTTATGCTAACTCGAACTATATGCCGATGTAAAGGAATCACATAAGCTTTGGTTTCTCTTTTTTTAAGTGATAGTTTTTGGGTCAGTTTGCGCTTGTACCTTGACTTTTTGATCGTGTACTTGCTACCTTCAATTAACTTCAGTCCTGACTTATTAGTGCATATCATAGCCAACATTAGTCGTATATTTGCTTTATTTAATAGGTGAAAATTCAAAATATCAATGGTCTCAATTTGGGAAGATTTTCTTTGTAAGCATTCTTATATAATGAAATATAATATATCCTCTACCTTCCATCGTGGAATTAGGATAATCTTTGCTTCTTTTTTTTCTTGCATGTTCTCATCTCTTAAAAAGTATTTTTCTGGGTTAGGATTGCTACTTGTTGGAAAGGGGACCAATGCTTTCAATATATTAATATATGATGTTGATATATTCTTACTTTTGTAAACTCTCCTTCCTCTTTTTGTTTTTGTTTGTTAATTTTCCTAAACGGTTGTATTGTGGATTTATCTTGATTAGGGGTGGCAAAATGGTTCAAAGAAAACAGTTAACCACCCATATTATCCACTAAAAAATGGGTTGGATAATGAACTTTTTAAAAATGGGTCAAATATGGATAAGAACCATATTATCCGTTTAGAAAATGGATAACCAATGAGTAACCAATGGATAACCAATGGGTCTAACTTTTACATTTGTAAAGCCTCAAATTGGGGGTTCCTCAAGTTAGGGAGACTAAGAATTCTCCCAAAAGTGATCATATACAAGAAGTCATGAATAATATGGGTAACCCATATTATCCGGCGGTAACCCGTTTTTTATCTGTATTAAATATGGGTCGGGTCGGATAATTGATCCGTTTTTTCATTACACATTTTCGATCTGAACCATATCCGACCCGACCCGCCCGTTTGCCACTCCTAGTCTTGATCAATCCCCTTGTCACTATCTGCTATTTTTCCATATTGACAAAAAGATGGACTCTATATTTTGTAACATAATCTGACCAGAGGCGACCCAGAATTTGAAGGTCGCGGCCGCACTTTTACATTCAACCAAAATCTGCTTTGTATATAAGGTGTCACTACTAATATATTACGATTTTTTAAAGGCATATACATGTATATATGGCCCTTCTAGGGTAGGGGTAAGGCTACGTACATCTTACCCTCCCCAAACCCCATTTGTAGAATTATGGGTTATTGTTGTTGCATGTATATATGAAATTTTTTGCCGAACTTTCCGGATGCCGGTGGCCTCTATCTTTACGGCATAGGTCCCGCCTCTGACTGCGCCCAATGGGTGATTAGTAGTCAATTAATTGAGCGCAAACTATCGAAATCGAGGTTCAAATTCCAGCAAAGTGATCTTTTTCTATTTACCTATGTTTTGGTGGATAAGTTTATTCAATTGCATGTGCAAGTGAAAAGTAACAGATATATACCTAGCGAAATAATTAAAGTGCGAAAGCTAACCTAGAAAACCATTGTCATAAATAAAAAGAAATTAATAACTAACCACTCAATAAATCGTTCTCAAATTGGATAACTTATAAGATCTGCATATTGTAAAGTAGATTAATGCCTAGGAATAGAGAACCATCAATATATAGAGGTGGTAATACATGAGCTGGTTATAATAATAAGCGTTTACTTGTAAGTTTACTTGATGGAATAGAGAACCATCAATATCCCGATTAATGCAGATTCACACTGTATAAAGGCCTATTAAAGAAAGATGCCGATATGAAATAATAAATGACACTGTATAAAGGCCTATTAAAGAAAGATGCTGATATGAAATAATAAATGAAGAATAAGAGTATTGTAAGCGTTTACTTGATGGAATAGAGAACCATCAATATCCCGATTAATGCAGATTCACACTGTATAAAGGCCTATTAAAGAAAGATGCTGATATGAAATAATAAATGAAGAATAAGAGTATTACAAAGAAAAGTAGAGAGAGAATTCTTATTGATATTGGATGAATTACAATAAAATAGAACCCTCTATTTATAGGGAGAGGTTGTCTTAGCCACCAAGCAATAAACCCTAGAATCTCTCTAAATATAGACATTCACCATAAATACAATTCTATTTATAACACTCCCCCTTGAATGTCTATTCAAAAAATAATGTGCCTCATTAAAACCATAACTAAAATAAAACCAAGTGGGAAAAAAATTGTAGAGAAGGAAAAAGAGTACACATATCTAACAATACGTCTTTTGGTTGCCTCGTTAAAATGTGATGACCCACAAGGTCATCACTTGCTTTAAATTAAATTCTGTGTTTCTGAGACCTTGAAAACCTCATTTAGAGTCACCTCGATTTGCGTGCGCAGTCCGAGCGCGTAGCCGGAAAGCTTAAATATTAAAATCTGTGAAAATGATAAAATTTGGCTAATAAATGAATTTATTTGACTTCGGTCAATGTTTTGGGTAAACGGATCCGGACTCGTGATTTGACGGTCCCGGAGGGTCCGTAGGAAAATATGGGACTTGGGCGTATGCCCAGAAACGAATTCCGAGGTCCCAAGCCCGAGAAATAAATTTTTAAAGAAAATTGTTTTCTGAAATTGTTTAAAGGATTTGGGAATGAATTTTGATTAGAACATGTTGGTATCGGGCCCGTATTTTGGTTCCGGCGCCCGGTATAGGTCTTATATGTAATTTAAGATAACTCTGTGAAGTTTGGTAAGAAACGGAGTCTGTTTGACGTAATTCGGACCTCAATTGGGAAATTTGATGTTTAAAGGAGTTTTGAGGAATTTCATTGATCTTGAGGTTTAATTTGATGTTCATGATGTTAATTTGATGATTTGATTACACGAATAAGTCCGTAGGATGTTTTTGAGATTTTGTGTGCACTTGGTTTGGAGTTCCGAGGGCTCGGGTGAGTTTCGGGTAGGTTCCGGGATGTTTTAGTCTTAAAAATCAGAGTTGTTACAGGCTCAGGGAAGTGGA